ATTACTCTTTTCGTAATACCTTCTAGAGCTTTCAAGAAATACAATACAATTTTAAGCCTCCATGTTCAACAATAACCAACAGGAACCCGTCGTCATGTTGTGCTGCAGTAATCACCGGATACTCTCTATTTATCCACTTAATTTGACACACTGCCATTTCGAAAACAGTAAAAATCAGTACTTCAGTTCATTCAAAGAAACAGGTAAATAAGTCCTTCAGTCCAAATACATTAACTTTATCATAACGCAAAAACGCGGTAAAAGTAATATTAAAATTAAAAACAATAAAGCAAAATAAATCACCAGCAAAAATTCTGAAAAACAGTTCATATTTCTTATAAGTAAAATTCTTGAATATTCAACCATAAAAATTAATGCAAAACCACAATCTCTCTATACTTTCAACATTAACCACCCTGATACCATTCAGATTGCACCTTCAGAAAAAATCAAAAGGAGCACGATTAGTTTCAGCCAAACAAGAAGATAATCAACAAAAAAATAAAGGAATATTAAGAACAAAATAATATATCTATACTATAATATATATATATATATATAAATTCATTCAATAGTGCATTCACTCGCCCCGATGCCACGTGGCGTTCTGACGAGCCGCGATGCGAGGCGCAGCGCTGGCGTGGGATCGCCGGCAGCCGGCGCTCTACCCGATGGCTTGCATCGTATGCGGCGCTATGCGTCGTGTTGTTATTGCACCCAACTGCGTTCGCGGGAAGCCGATGCCGTTGTGGAGGGTTTTACTCCAGTGCTTTATGTTAGCAGCCGACTGTCAGCGCGTGTGTGATATGTCGCCGGGGGAGGACATGCAGATCATCGAAGTGAGTATTGTGACGCGTCAAAGAAGTTCGGTCATTTACCGGTCAAATTGATTGTGGGGTTTGTGCCAATACCCAGCCCAATTGTTTGTGAGAAGAGCAACGTGACTTCACCCTTTTGTGTTCATAATATGTGAGATTTTATCGATTGTTTACTCACTATCAGAAATTGAACAAATTCCAATGATTTGTTATTTGCGTAACATTACACAACTGTAATAAATAACTAATTGTTCTTTAAAATAGAAGAAAAGACAATCTTAGAAAACTGCAATGTTATTTCTAATATTGTTTACATAAACTCTAAACATGTTTAGCCTATGCCTAAAAATAATTTCTAGCGAATTCCCGAATTATATTCTGTTGGCTCAAATAACTTTGTGGTATCTTGAATGAGAAAAGTTCATTATCGCTTCTCATTCTATTACTTCTGAAATTAAAACGACTTACCGAGTGCTTGGCTTAGAAAGTTCCTAAATCTAAACAACTCGCGCAAACACATTTGATGCCGGACCTTACTGGCCTTGCGAAGCTCCTTCCATTACGGGTGACAGTGTCTCTTTCAATGAGCGCGACTCTCAAATGTTAATGCGTTGGCTCTCGCGTTTGATATTTCTTCTCGTTTTGTTTATTTAGCGTCAAAAACAATTAAAAACTGCGCGTGACGTACCATGTGGAGATTGTTCTTTCCATTGTGAAGATGATTTGAGAATAGCTTTACGAAATAGTCTGTATCGTAACTGTTCTCATAAGTACCACATGAGTGAAAGTGCAAACTGAGGATATTGTAGTTCATTTTGCCATCAACAATATCTTTAATCGTATTGTCTTGGAAAATTTTCTGCATTGTACTTCTTGCATTATTCAACAGTATACTAACTGAAGAAATTATTACACAATATTAACTTTCACAGAAAAATATGTAACTACATTTTCAGGTGCTACATGACTTTCAATGAACTTCCGAAAGGTTCTGATGTATATCGATCACGGTGGTAAGGATGGATATGAAGGGGTACATGTAAATATTTCATGAAAAAATTACATTTCTCTATTTATATTTCTTATCATTTGATTTCCAATTTGTCGCCTGTATCACTTTGTAGTCGTTGGGCCATTTTGCCATACGTCAATTAAGACTACAAGTTTATTGCACAACTTTAACGAATGGAATTTATTTTGCTCAAAACACTATTTCTGTTTATGAAAATCTATCTCATTGAGAACAAAATGTATCTATAAAACAAAACCTAACATATTCACTCCCCTGCAGTGCCTTTGACTGGGAGGTCCTATGTTCGACACCCGCAAGATTTTCGAAACTAGATTGTCAGCTATGTCGAATTCAGTCGCTGTCTAAAGGAGAATTCTGGAGGCCGGCTGCTCTGGTCGTAGTTTTCTGTGGTTTCTCTGATCAATACCAGGCGAATATCGGAGCAGTACCCTAACAAACAGTCCATGGATCGCTCGCGATCTTTCCTTTCTCTTCCTTGACCTATCCTCACCACCTATTTACACACACACTAACATGCACTACACTACCACACATACCGGGAGTCTGGTCGGGAGCGTAGAGTTTCCCTGGCTGGGGAGATGCCGCACTGGTGGGAGATACCTGGTTCGGAAAACCCCGTTAGCTGATGGTAGGTCGGCGCCGGATATCGGCATCCAGGAAGGAAAGATCACCGCACATCCAGAGGAAAAACATGTACTACACGTACGGGACTAATGACCTCAGTAGTTGACGCGCCCAGAGTCACAACTAGCCAACGAACCTTATTCACTCCTCTTCATTGAGAACAAATCGTCGGTACAAAACATAACCTAACTTATTCACTCATTCCAAACACCCTCTTCAAGGCTCGTCTAGGGCATTGTCCCTGCAACCTATTTTATACCAACCCTAACGTGGTCATTAGCATGAGCTCCCAGGCGCGGCGCAGAGCCCTCCTCAGGGCAACAATATGACCCATCGCGGGGAGCGCGTAAAGGTGAGTCTTTTACGGCCCTATAAAGCAACGGGCGAGCGCGGCCCAACACAGGTTTACTTTTTAATTCCG